GCAAGCACAGCTATGCACGGAGATGGAACTTAAAAATGCACAAGTGCCAGGGCCCGAGGTCAGCGCCCCCTGGACTGGCCAATTCCCCTGATCAGAAAATGCTAATACTTAGATCAAACAGTAAGGTCAAAACAGATGAGTTTATTGCTGGATCTCAAATTGCCAAGAGTGTTGCTGTGGGCACTGAAGTTAATAGTCATATCAAGGTTGAGTTTACCTCTCCAGATTCAGATCAGTCTGCAGTTTCACAGCTGGCCTGGGCTCATCCAGAAAAGAGCTTTTCCCCATTTTATCCCAAATCTTCTGTGATGGAGCTGAGTAAGGATGCTGCTTTGTGTGGAGTTTTGCAACAGAAAGAAGAAGGAAAGGGTTGCTGGGATTCATCAGCAGATGATAAAGAAGGCAGTGATGAAGAGCAGTGGACAATGCCCCTGGATGATGAAATGGAGGTTCTTAGCCCTGCAGAGAAAGCTGATAAAGGTGCTGAGGGGAAGAAATCTCCGTTAGTCCAACACGCAGAGACAGCAATCCCTAGCCTACGCTATTTTGTCAGAGATGGTGTAAAACGTTACCCTTGTACCAGGTGCCAGAAAACCTACAGTCGGCCTGCTACTTTGAGGCGCCATCTACGGTTGTGTGGGTTTAGGCCACGGGGACTAAATGTTGTGGCACAGGGTGGTCCTCAGGGTGCCAAGCAACCAAATTCCAACAACAATAGACCAATGTTTCCTTGTTTTGTTTGTGGGAGGGTCTTTAACCGCAAAGATAACATGATGGTTCACAGAAAGAAGTGTCAGTTGCAACGAACAATATCAAATGCTGCAGAAGGGACTGTTCAACAGAGTGCAACAGGCCATGCAGCAGACAGTCAAACCCAGGCGGATGATGGAGGCAACTGGGGTATTATGTCATTGCCCTCAGTACTTCCAAGGAGAGTGACATGCGAGTGTGGTGTTGGATTTACGTCACCTCGGCTTCTCCTAGAGCATTTGCAGAAGCATGCACAGGAATCATACACATGTCCATCTTGTGGAGAGACTGTCAGCTCTTGGGCAGACTATGAAGTACATTTGCAGATTCATATGCATCCTCATCACCAACTGCTGAAAGGATTACAGCCACAAAGATCACAACCTCTTTTACTTCGATTTCAGCAGCAGAGGCCTCCACAGCAGTCACCTCCCTCAGTGCATCAGCCTGCACCAAAGCAAACTGTCAAAGCAGTGCAGCATCCAAATCCATCCTTAAAACAGCAACGGCTTGTTTGCACACGATGTGGCAACACCTTTGCCACTCGTTGTTCCCTTCGAAGGCATTTAACCTGGAATCGATGCAAAGGTGCACGAGCTACAAACCCGTCCCTAAACCTGCCCAAAACCTATCACTGTTCACATTGCAACTCTGACTTCCCAAACACAATCAGTCTTTTATTTCACCAGAGGAGTGGGGCTTGCAAACCGCCCATAAAGCCGTCCATAAAGCCTGTGCGTTGCCCTGTTTGCCTTCGCTGGTTTGGCACTGTAGAAAGTTTGCAGAAACACCTGCTTACCCACAAACAGTCTGAATCATATCGTTGTGATGTTTGCCAGGGTACATATCCAAGCCTAAAGTCACTCAAAAACCATCGCAGAAGGATTCATCGCATCATGGCTGGAGACACTAATCGAAAACCACAAGAACAACTAGCTTCTTAATGTCATTTCATCGTTTCAAAAACCTTAACCTGAAGGTTGTGCATTGAGGTAAAAAAAGGAAATGTTATTATGTTGTGCTCTTCCCATAGGCTCATTTCTAATTTAGTTTTTTTGTTTGTTGATTCTTTTTTTTTCTACTGTCCGGAGATGATGACATTGTACAGCCATTTTTTAAAACTTTTTAAAATTCAACTCTACGAGAGTTTTAGTAGCTTCACAATGTAAAGAAAGCTTTACTACAATGTACATTTTGTTTAATCAACTTAATTTTATCACACAGCCTACTTAATGTGTAAATGAGTGTTTGGTAATCAAACTTTATCACAAGAATGTGATGTAGCTTGTTTGTGATGTTAATAAAGATACTAGTGTGTAAAAAAGAAAGTTTTGTTTTGTCAAATGGCAAAGATGCTGTCCTAGAGAAACACTATTAAGATTATTTAGAAATTATTTTAATATCGCTATCAAAATTTACCAAGTGTTAAGTCAATCATAAATTAAACCTGAAGTAAAATAAATTTGTCGTGAAGAGTGTGCGTAATATGAAATCTGTAAACTGAATTAATACATTTTCTAACTGGGTCTTTGTTCCACTCTTGATGATAATGTGGTGTATTTAGAGTACCCATTGAGTATACCAGATACAAATTGTTGACATTTATTTTCCTATGTTAATAAGAGTTAAGTGGTTTTTATTGAGATGTAGTGGGGTGCGTTTTGGTGTTGATCGGGTTCATCTACTTTTGGGTTATATACGGGATAATGCAAGCTAATTTCTGGTGAGGCTAGATTATTAATAAGATAGCAGCTCAGTATTTATGGTAATGATGCTACAGCCAGGCTAGATAGATAGATAGATACATACATACATACATACATAGATATTATACCAAGTAGTTATTCACATACAAGGATGTCTGTGGAGTCCAACTAATAACATGCTGTAACATGCATGATATTTACTCAGGGGTGTTTAAATGTCCATAGAATAATGAATAATGTAGAGTCTAAAAATGTAATGCATTCATGAGTCAGATGTGGAGATTTAAAAATGATACAATATCTTGTGTCCAAAAAAAAGTGGATGTCAGTTGGGGGATCGGGCCTTTGTGATGATGCCGTGGTAGTTGTCCATCATCTCTCCTGCACGTCTCAGGATCATGGAAGAACCCTTTCAGTGGAATCCCTTCGTCCTTGGCAGTGGTAGCATGGACCAGATGACGATAAGGGTGGATTTGAGTGATGGAAGCCAGTATGTTCACCATAATTAACACCAATAGGTTGATCACAAATAGTCCTATTTACTCTTCCAAAGTGCACACAGCTGAAATGCAAGATGTCTTGCTTTACCACTAGGGGATCCTGGTGTTTAGAGGCCACTAGCTTGCTTGTGATCAGACTGAGGATTGTTTCGTCTATTTCCAAGAGTTACCAGTCAAGCTCACATTGCAAACCCATTGTTTTCACAATCATGGACAAGTCTGCTGTCCGCAGATCATATTGAACTCAGAGAAAACTATGATATTAAACAATATGAAAAAGATAAACACATAATCCCCCCCCAAAAAAAAAAACAGCTGCTGCGACAAATGCAGGAAGAGCAGTAAATAAAAACATACTGATTGTGAATGTGCAAATCAATGCTTATAATATCACTTAATGCACAATAGATCTATAGTAACCCTTTTATCTCCTTGAATTCGTTATTTAGTCATATGTGGCATGTCTAAAAGTTTAAAATACAGTGGGGCATTGGGCTTAATATTTTAAAATGTTGGAAAGCAGTAAGTACACTAATTTGAAATCTTATATCTACAAAAAGTAGAAGGCTTCAGTTTTTCAGGCTATCTTGTAGGATGATAACTAAAGAATCAATATATTTCATGATCATATACTTAAAATAAATAATAATAACAGGAAACTAAAAGAATGTGTTCGTCTCTCTCTCTCTTCCTCTCTTGAAAAGCTCACAGAGGTATGTGATCAAGAGATCTAATTAGCTAGTAAACTGAGTTTCATACAGGTTGTTTTATTATTTTGAACATTATCTGAACAGCATTAATAACCGTGGTGATGTGTCCTAATAAGTGAACCATTTTTTCGGCCCTCTGAAAGTGGTTGATGAACATCAGTTTTTCCTATTGTGTAATAATCTCTCTCCTGTGCTGCATGTGAGGTGTTTGTGGTTGTTTTAATGTATGCGGGTCACTTCAGGGCCATGACCAGTTCACAGGAATCTAATAAAGAACAGACTTTTAAAAGTCATGTGAACATCCAAACTATACACTCAAATCAGAGCCAAAAATGGGAATTAATCATTAAGGCTTGCAGTGGGCTGCATACAGCTGCGTTCACACTGCAAGTAAAATTCACCTTAATCTGATTTTTTTTTAATGCTCCCATGTGGCTCACAATTGGTTTATTTATGACAATGTGAAACAACACAAGTCACATGAAATCTGATCCTTTCAAATAACATTTTGGCCACTTCTAGATTTGTTTCATTGTCAGCTACACAGATCCTCCATTTCACATTTTGTACATTTTGTGTTTCTTATATTTTTAAATTGTATATTTTATGTTGTAATTGCTTTCATATTTTATTATTTAAGTTCTTGCTATGTTTGCCTTATTTCCTTTATTTACAGTTTTTTGCACCAATAGTGTAGAAAGTGTATGTAAAACCAGTTCAAAACTAGAGCTTCTGCAGTGGTACACCAATTAAAGTGCAGGGACCAGAGGAGAGTTTCTTCATGCTTTATTTCACAACAAACTTCATTCCACTTGTGACAGGCATAGTGGTCAGATGATTTAACTCTTAAAGAAAAAGGAAAACAATAATCAGGGCCACACCAATAAATCAAATTACGTACTAACTAAACAATCTCATAAAGGCACAAAATCATATATTTACACATCAGGTACTCACTCAAATAATGCATCTATCAGAGTCACAATAGAGTTGTCAGCCTGTCATGCAGCTCAGCAGTGTGAAGCAAACTAAAGGAGTGAGCATGGCCTGCTGCAGGTGTGGCCTGATTGGTTCAGACTAGGCTTAAAGGGGAAGTGGGATCTGCAACAAATAGTCTACACCAAGACAAATTCCTGGTATGTGTAAATTAACTTGGCAATTTAATAACAAAAAAACAAAACGATTTTGATCCGATTCTGATATTAGATTCCCACAGATCAGAGTCTGATCCAGGCCAAATTTAAAAAGTTATTTGAACAGCCAAACGAAACATTTGGATCCAGGTAAAGTAGTATTAAGAGGACCTCCAGTCTGTAGGTGTCAGTATAGAGTAGAAGAACACTACACGATTTGTGCCTGTCAAAGCAAAGCGCGCCATACACAGAAGAAGAGGGTGGACACTTCCTCCTCTGTTTTTATGTGGCTAACAGGCTAAGTCCTATTATTAAACACCGGCTTCCAGTGTGTGAATGTCTGAAAAAGACGATCGACACGCTATCGGTGGATTGTTTCAGCCGTATATCCGACTACCGAGACAGCTGGATTTGAAGTAATTTAATGTGAAGGTAAGCCATCTTTACATTACGGGAGCTAGCAGAGGCTATCGATAGCATTGTAGGCTAGTAGCAAGCGCGCCTTCAACAAAATGACAATAAAAGAATAAAAGGTAACTCTCCTACATATTCATCCAGATAGTCAGTTTTAATAGTTAAAACGTAAAGCCTGAATGATTGTATATGATGTGTCGACAGGGAACATGTTTCATATCTGTACAGAGTTCAGATGGTTGTGTTCACATTCAAACAGCAAATACTCTTAAAATGTTAAAATGTTATTTATGACTTTTAGTTAGTGCAGCTGTCAGTGCTTACCCTAGAAAGCATTTCATTTTTGTATGTAGCATTTAGCACGATAAGCTCTTTCTAGTCATATAAATACAGTATGATACGATATATTCAACATTTTGTTGTTTTAATGATGCCCTGTTTGATTTAAAGTATTGTATAACTTGTCTTATAACAGGTTAGGTGCCTAAGTCTGCTCCGTTTCAACAGTGAACACATCCGTGTCCAACGTGAACATGGAGAGAGGGAGGCAAAAACTGCACAACATCCTGGAGGATGGTTTAGGACAAGAGTTGAAGAACGCCGGGAGGTTTTGTTTCAGCTGTGAGCAGATATTTGCAGATAGAAGATGCCTTGAGGAACATATGTGTTCTGCTGCAAGTCACATTTGCTCCTGTGGAACTGAGTTCACCGAATACAATGACATGCTGGAGCACAGTACTACACATGAACCAGGACACCAAGTGCTTGATCATGAAACAATAAGGAAGCGCAGGAATGAGAAGCGCATTGCAGAGGAAGCACAGCTGAAGAGATTACAGACGGGTGAAGTTGTTTGGAAAGCACCTAAATTAGGAAATATGCCATCAATTTCTTTGCCAGTGAAGCCGATGCTGCAGGTACCCATGACTTCAGCTCATATGCCTCAAGTTCCCATGCAGTCTGCGCTGATTTCACGACAAGTGCCTGAGTTGTACCCTTCAATGTCAGAGGCAACTATGCTCCAAAATCCTGTCTCTTCGGCAACAGACATGAAGAATATTTTTGCTGGCGTAGGTGCACCGACAGTGGATCTTTGGACAATTTACCAGCCAGTAGTGTTGTTGCAAACAGTGCGCACGTTTAGCAAGAAAAGAATGTTCTCCTGCAGTAAATGTGGGCAGTGTTTTACTTCAAAGACAGCCCTTATATCCCATCACAGTTCGCATGCTCTATTTAAAGTTTCAGGCTGTATAGGATGTGGGCTGCTGCTCTCCAGCAAAAAGATAGTGCCTCGCTTCCATGTTTGTAGCGCACCTAGCAATACTACCAAATTCAAACTCATTACTGCAAGACCGGCAGGTTACAAGGTGCCAAATGAAGCAGGGCCTGTCAGGAGTCTGAATCTGGCTCTTCCTCCTCCTCAGGAGCCAGAGGTCACGTCATTCCTAAATTTAAAAAGCCAGAATCCCAGTGCAGGCAACAATGGAAGTCAGACAACCCTCGGCAATTCAACCCTTCAGTTGAAAAACTTGAATATCAGAACATACAATCAAAGCAACCAGGGGCTTCATGTCTCTCCATCGCAGCAGTTTAGGAGACAGAATACAAATCCAACCAAACCATTCGTCTCCCTGCCACACAAGACCTACGGTCGAAATCCTAGTGCATCCATCAAAGGCAGCCAAGGGCGTCTTGTGACCCCCTCTGGACAGACGAAGAGGCCCCCAACGGTCTTATTTAGTTTACAAAGTAGACCCACGCAGACATCCTCAAGACCAAATGAATTCACATGTCGAGTCTGTTACGTTCCCTTTGAAACTCCTCAGCTCCTACAGAGGCACAAGTGTGTCAAAGCACAGGAGTTCATGGCACTGCGAGGTAGCAGAAAGAACCACAAATTAAAGATGGTGACACCAGTGGCAGGCCAACATCCAGTTCAGATGAATGGTGAGATAATACTTGGGGTTCCAGCATCCGGCAACATAAAGATACACCAAGTCATGGCTGTCAATCTAGAAAAATCGCAGGGGGTGGCTCCTGTGAATGGCGGAACCGAAGTGGATATGGATGATGATGACTGCTATATCGTGGAAAAGGGTCCAGACAAACCTGCTGAGATGATTTACCAAGTCACCTCATCTGTTCCTATTAAGACCTGATTACCTGAGTGGAGAGGCCCATCAACCGTGCATGTCAATTTAAAAAAAAAAAATTGGACCAAGTACAAAAAGACGGCAGCTTCTGGTTGAAGCATCTTAACTGATCAGGTTAATGGCACAGTATTACACTGCTTCCTGGCTTTCTCCACACTATGTTACAAGATAAAGACAGTTATAACAAAAAGTGACTTCAAACATGCATCTTTATTAAGCTGGATTTATTTTTATTTTTTGTCAGTAAACATTTAAATATATCCTTCCCAATGGTCGATGGTGGTTGTACTGCAATGATCTTAGAAGATGTAACAGTTGATTATATGATGAAAATGTATGTTCATGGTTTACCCGTTGCTGGGATAACCAGTTACAGCTGAATAGTTGTTTTGTGTTTTTTAAATATGTTTTTAAATATACCTTAGTATGATCAGAATGTTTTGTGAGGCTGTTGGAATTTACCATAATACCCCGTGTTCTTACCAGCTTTGTCACTTATAGAATACAGTATGTTGTATTAAACTATATTTTTAAACTGACAATGTCTTTGACCTTTGTTGGAAATGAAGAGCCTTGTGTAGTGGCTATTTGTCCAAAAAACAAACAAAATAAACTAATATCAAAAATAATCAAGTGACCACTGATGCACTGTGGGGAAGTGATGTACGCAGGCAAAAGAAATCCAATGTCCATGCAAGAGCTGCAGTATTTTGCTGGTTTATTTGAGGAAAACAAACAAAAGAACAAAGAAAATCGTGGCTCCCGCTGCCTCTCTTGACCTGGTAAAAAACAATAGGCCCACCCAGGTGCATGCTGGTCCTCTACCTGCCTCTTACTTAAATAATCTCCGGTGCCCACAGTGTTACCCAAATACCTAACAAAAATACTAATGCAAAACTAAATTTACTAAACAAATAACTAGCAAAAAATAAAACGTTACCCAAAATCTTTTCGAAATAAAGAAAACGTGTAGAATAATTAAATAAACAACACCACCCAAATATTAGTAAACTAAATACAAAAACTAATTCTAACCACAATTAAATAGCTCCAATACCTTGTATAATCGGCAGCAAGTACAATTTATAAAAGGTTTATCACTAGATACATAGACAATGTACAGTGATTTTAACATTAGATCACTGTTTATACTTAGTTGTTGGTAGTTCATATAACAATGTCATTGCAGCTTAAGAAAATTATTTTACAAGACAAAGGTCTGATTAACAGGTCATGAGGTCATTTTACGACTATTTATTGCTCTTTATTGTAGGTGTGGTGGAATTAATAAAATATGAATTGTTCAATTTTGTTACAGCTGCAAGCAATATCCTTTAGTCCAGCAGAGGGACCTATTTCATAGAAAAGGATGTTGTGCGTCCATTTTTGATGAGGTAAATACATCCGAAAGAATGGATGCTGCGTTCAAGTGCTGTTTGGAAGCTTGTTTTCGTTGAAGGAGTAAAAAGTTTTCACCTTAAGGTAGGATAAACAACATATTTGGACAAATATAATTGTTAGTGGTTAATGTCATTACTTGAACTGATCGGCACTGAGTAACACTGAAGCTTACAATTCAATAGTGAGAAGTTGAAATCAAATATTCCAAAATGCTCCACAGCACTTGAAGTATCCACCCAATATGTGCGCTTGCTCGGCGTGATTGACATTTTTTTCGGGTTGCTTTGTACTTGGATATCGAGTGGCTCACTGCTGCAAACTGCCCTGAAAGAAAAGGAGAAAACCAGATCCTCACAAAAAAAAATCAAAGCGCACAGACCAATGTTTTAAAAAGTGCCAAGCAGCAGCATAGCAGATGTTAGTCTCGAGCTAGCCAGTGCTAGCTCGCTAGTTGAACAGCGGTCAGTGCATGGCTACGCGGAGACCAGTGTTGTCTCTCTCCCACGCAGGCAAGCAGTTTTTGTTCACTACCACCTGTCTTATTTCGCAGCCAAGACTGAGAAGTAGCAAGTAAAAGCGGTTATATCATTAAATAAAGTGGATTGACATGGTAGTTCACGGCTCAGTTCGTGTGGCCTGTAATGTGAAATAACAAGAGGTAGCCATTTGGCCTAGCAGAGATAACGCCTTCATTGTTTGGCATGCTGTTTTCTATTAATTACTGAATGCTGTGGCTGTCATGTCTGTCACTGCTGTTTGAAATAAATGTTTAGTGACCCGTAAAGACAGATTTTTGGTTCAGTGTGTGTATGTGTGTCGATAGGTAACCACAAACACAATCCACTTGTTTCCTTTTCATTAGAAACACTCATACCTGAGAGGAGGATGAAAGACAAGACAACATTAGAAACCACAAAGGACATGTTTTATACATTGCCTATTATGCTAACCTCAAGTTCTTAACAAATCAAACTCTTGAATTTTTTTGTTGTTGAGTGTTTTTTGTCCATAACAAACTGAGTCATTCTGGAGATGAAACAGTTGTGAGGTTTCTCTAAAAGTACAAGTAAACTTAGTGTAGAAATTCTTATGGATTATGTCAAATGTCTTTCCTTCTTATAGTTCAGCAAATATGTGTTTTAAAAGGGAACTTACTCTGTTACTATCAGGTGGTAAAAGATAGGAAAGACTTACCAGTTAACTTAACACTCTCACAAAATCTGCTTCATGGCTGTTTTCTTTCAAGCAGGTTTGATTTTGAGTTCATTGAAAGTGTTTTTATTGTTTTCATTTAGAGTCTGGCTCAGTTTTGAGTCAAGTAATAAACTATTTCTTTCTTACAGCTGCCTACAATCTGTTATTTAATCGTTTGTAAATGTTAGTGTTCTCAAATCACTCATAAGAAATATTTTTTCTTGTAAAGAAGTTGTTGCTCCCCCCAAATAGTTGCTGGATTTCCTGGGATGACAATGAGGTTAGCCACCTTTTAAGTAATTGTGACAAATAAGAACATCGTGAGGTTTAATCACAACTGTGATAGGTATGTTCTTTGTACATTTGTTTTTGGAGACCTGCAACAATAAGTCTGTTGTGGCTATTTCTAGGGCTGGGCAATATGATAAAACATTTTATCGTGTTAAAAAAATGTCATATCAGTCGATATTGGACATTTTCATGATAAATGTCAAATCATTATTTCTTTCAAATGAAAAGGCAAATGGTGGAAAAGGTTTGTGGTGTTGCCCCTTTTTAGCCTGACATGTATTCTGGTTTAATTATAAGTTTAAATTTATGAATCATTTGTTATATATATATTACAGTTTTACCTCCCTGGCCTAGTTATTGTGATGTTCTTACATTTTACTGTACTAATCCACCTCAGTGATGAATGAGTAATGAGTTCTTTTATCACTGTTTAATCCACAGATCTGGACATGGGGAGTAAAATGTCCTTCGGCAGAGGACACGGTGACCAAAACACAGTCTCTGAGTTATCCTCTGTGACATCCCAGCTGCAAAACTCCGTACATGCCACTCCTGACTGCAAGCAGGTAGGTTTTGAAAACCACAAATAGACATTTGCTATAACTCAGTTTGTGGAGTAGCTTGCTGTGTAAAAAAATCGAAACCCTGTCCTTATGTGTCTGAATATTAAAAATATATAATATATCGTCATGATTTTGTTGGTCTTATGTAAAACAAATGAAAAGAGAACTATCTCTTAAGGCTGAAAATACTTCTCATACTCAATTGTACTGTTTTATTCTAATTTTAGAAATATCTTTATTCATCAACATGTGAGTTTTCTATTTGTATTCAATGTCTATGTTTACATTTAGTTTGATTAGTATGTATTTATTGGACTTTACTAAATAGAGTTGAGTTAAAAGCTGATAATACCATTGGTGAAATTATAAGCCATTAACAGTTTTATTGATGATTTTAAGAAGATATGTTCTGCAAACCATTACCATGTTTTGACAAACAGATGCATGTTCTTTCCTTCGACAGATACCTGAAGACAAGATATGCAGTGAAGAGGACCTGAACACCAGCAGGGAGGAGGAAATGAAAGCAACAGGACTGACTGAACCTGCCCCCACGTCCCACTCGTCAAGACTCTCAGATAGCCTGGTTAACTGTGAAACAGAAGACAGAACAGACTGTCAATACAAAAAGCACACATCAACAAAGGTAGGGAAAGACGCTAACTCTGAAATGACCTCTGCGACTGTGTGTAGCTCTACATCACACAGCTATGAACAGCCTGTGGAGGTCCGCAAAAAAAGAGGGCGACCTTGTAAAAAAAAAAATTTGAATATTGGTGCAGTTCAAGATGAGGAGGTCAGCACAACAAAAAGAAGAAGAGGTAGGCCAAAAAAAACTGACGTTAAAATTGTCACAACACAGGTTCCTAAAGCTGCTGTTAAAAGGGTCATTAATACAAGCTTTCCTGCACGGATACTGAGGAGTAGAGGAGAACAACAGCCTTTGACACAGGATGGAAAGACTGAGTCTGACATCAAGGAAGACTCCAAGCAAACTGAAGAGACTCTCATAGAAAGTAGCGATACATTTAACTTTCAAGATATTAAAAGACGAGGGGCTGAACTGGCTGACCAGCAAGTTCCATCCAAAGTATCCAGACTGGATGTTTCCCAGGAGGCATCGGTGGTGTTGGGCAATGACGCATGCTGTTTGAAGAAGGAGGAGACAGATAAGCAGGTGAAATTAAACTCTGAAAAGCATGAGACTGATACAGATGAAAATGGAAGACAAGTCTCCCTGAAGTCTGGGATAGGGCAAGAGCTGCAGACAAAACAAGAGGAAGGTGCAAAGCCACAAAGACATTTGCAGCCATCCACCAAGCCATCAGCGGAGTCCAAAGTTATTCCCTTAGAGAGTTTCAGCAGTAGAAACTTGGCAAGTCCCTCTCACAGTGATCAATTAAAACAGCCTTCAGACATGAGTGGCATCCAGATGTCACAATCAAACAGCATGCTTGAATCTACAGAAAACACAAGCTTGCGGGACACTAAGCCCTCCAGCGCAGATGTCTTAACGTCCTCTGAACGATTACCTAAACCTATCGGGGGCCTCCCTGCATTGAAAACTGAAAACACAGAGATAGAGCTGGATTGTTTGACTCCTGTGCTACAGTCAAATACCCGACTCAATCCCTACTCCAACATTAAATCTGAGGGTCCAAATAGTCAGGGAAAGTTCTTAAGACGCAAAAAAGGTGCCAAGAGAAGGAGGAGAATCAATAATGTTTTGTTACCCAAAACAGAGCTCGCAGAGAACCGTGAAGGCAGCGAAGCCAGCGAAGCCCCTCGAGAAAAAGAAGACTCTAGTGAGGTGGACAAGCAAGCTAACTCAAATGCCATTCCAAATGTAATCATCACTAAAAGAGGGGGGAAAACTCTTTATAAATGTGGTTACTGTGGGCAAATTTGTAAATTTATGTCTCAGTTTGTCATCCATCAACGCATTCATACAGGAGAGAGACCGTACAAATGCACAGAATGTGGCAAAGGTTTTAGCAAAAATTCTAACTTAAATCTTCACCTCAAGGTGCACATGAGGAATAAATTATATCGAAAGTGTCCATACTGCCAGATCAAGTTGTCATTCGCTGAGTATGCTACACATATAAATACTCATGCAAAAAGGCTGCACCTGGAGCCTGACGACGACAAATCTGAAGAAAGCATCCGAGAGCCCGACTATGAGAACAGCCCTGGACTCCAGGTACCAGTCCCCAAAGAAAAGAGAGAACAAAAGACGTGTCAGTACTGTGGCAAAACATTCCCATTTCAGTCTGCCCTCCTTAGACATGTGCGTGTCCACACAGGAGAGAAGCCTTATAAATGTGACATTTGTGGCAAAGCTTTCGGTCAGGCCTATTTCCTGCGTGTGCACGAGCTGACACACTGGTCTGTGAAGCGTTACAACTGCACACGATGTGAGAAATCCTTCACTCATTACAGTAATGCAAAAAATCACACTTGTATAGAGGAAAGAAGTGACAGACGCGTAAGGCCTTCCCTTACGTACACGTGCCACATCTGCAAGAATGTGTCGAATCATCTGCAGGCGTTCAACAGCCACATGAAAGCCCACTCCGGTGCAAAGTTGTATCGCTGCGTGTATTGTGACAAGCTGTTTGGTGTGATGTCGGAGTACAATGCCCATCGCAGTTTGTGCAGAGGCGCCTCCAGCTCTGCGATAAAAGAGGAAGAGATGGTGACATCAGTACAGTATGCAGTGCCTGCAGTCAGGTGTTCCTCTGGACATCCTTCAGCTTCTACACTCATAGCTGCAAATAGTGAAATACAGAAAAAACGCAAGAAATACGCTGCTAACTTAAAGAAACCGTTCCAGTCAACTATCATACCTGCTCACCATCACTCACACCTTGTTTCAAAGTTAAACAAACTAGATAACCGCTCTGACCCCAGGAAGTATTTATGTCCAAGCTGTGGGAGACTCTTCAGACACATGGGCAGACTCCGAGCCCACATGCTCACTCACGCCCCGGCACAAAGCTACACCTGTGCCTGCTGTGGTAAGACTCTAGAAAACTGGAAGAAACTGTGGCATCACCAGAGAATCCATCGACATAGGCGCGGCCGCTTCACTTGTCCCTTGTGTGGGCAAGGCTTTCGGTTTGTGGAGACATACAAGCAACACATGAGCAAGCACCCGGAGTTCCAGTGGGTTCAGGTCAGACCAAAGAAAGTGTCTCTGCCTTATCAGTGTGAGCAGTGCAGCTGCAGCTTCAAGACCCTGGATTTGCTCTTTAGTCACCAGATTTGCCATTCCTCAACACAAGACACGCACAAGGTCTCTGACATTGATTTATCCATGAATGATCATGCGCAGTCGAGCAGGAAAATGTTTAAACCTCCCTCGACTAACAACAACATTGTTTTACATACAGAACACGAGAACAACCACTCTCCTCTGACCACCTGTTCTAAATATCTAGACCCAGTTATTCAAGAGTCACCCAGAGGGGACATGGTTTCCTCTGTTCATATTCAGGGTGTTGATTCAGGTAAAACTATTCAATCAAGAGAAACCTGTCATGACAGATCAGATGAAAATGCACTCGGAAAACCCATTACACCCCTGAGAACTGTGAAAAGGTACCAGACCCACAATCCCAGCATATCAAATGAAGGGTCATCGGATGGCTTTAAGTGTGCTGTTTGTGGTAACACATATCCTGCCATTTCAGACCTTTATCAACATTATTTGCAGCATGCTCGATGTCAAGTGTAATGACTGAAATGTTCATAATTTACCAAGCCAATATCTAGTCACATTTTAAATTAACACAAGGGTCTTGTATACATGAGAACAAAGTATAAACATTGTTTGTTTCATACCTGAAAAAAAGTTTGAGACATTTAAATGACTTAAAAGAGGATATGGTTTGCTCACAATCATGTGTTCAATCCGTCATGCCTCAGTTTTCAGACTCAAAATTACACACTGAATGTAAGGAAAGCCTAAACTCATCCATTTCATTATTCAACTTCAAACAGAAGCCATCAGTTGCTCCTTAGTCTTTATAACTAGGCTTCTTTCAATTCAAAAGAACAGACAGGCTGAGTACATTTTAGGTTTGATTGATGTGGATTAACAAAGGGGCTCTTGACTTTATGTGATCAAGATATGGAAACATTTTGTATATTGAGCACATTGATGCCAAGCTAGAGTCAGCCCAGGGACAATGTTACATACTTTTCTCCCAAATAAGAAATTGAAAAAGAAATGTATCTTACTGTAAATGACTGATCATGGACTGAAATATACTTCTGCCTGAAAAAAACAGCGAACAATTCAAGCCCTTGTTTGTCCTCATTGCTGTTTAGCTCATGGCATTTTTATTATGAAGTTGGCGGAAACATACATTCAACAACTGATCACGAAGAAGAAAGTCTCGGGAGGTTGAGATTAAAATCTGCTCAATACTGTGAACAATTGAGTTTGGATATCCGGGCAGAGAAAGACAAATTCTTGTTTTGTCACTAAGTAGTATCATCAATCACTTAAATAACTGAATATTTGAATTTCAATCTTTAAAATAAAACTCTAAATCATAAAGACTGTTATTCAAGAATTACTTTCTCCTGGTCAACAACAATGGCATGTATCATGTCATTGTATCTGAAATCAATCTGAATCAATATCAGCTTTTCTTTCGCACATTTTGGTAACAAGTTGGCTCTGTTATCCAAAGGTAACGTGAATGCTGAAATCAAGCGATGCAGAATGTTCTTGAAGTGCTACAGGAGTGTTGTTGAACATCATTTATTGTTTACAGCGATTGAAAAACTACATTTTCATGCTTGAAGGGTCTGACTTGATTTGTTGGAGCCGTGAACATTATTAAAGATGTTTTCCTGTTGTATACAGTTGATGACATGATGTATGTATGATATGATGCTTTAGTTTGTCCTCAATCAATAAAGGTCAATTTTGTATGAAATTTAATCACTTCTGTCTTTTTTTAGGGCTAAATGTCTGCTTACATGGAAATAGACTATGCAGCTCTTTGTTCAGGATAACTGCAATATCTGTGATATAATATTATGCTGAGGCTTCGACGCGCTTGTCACTTACCAAGGGACATGACTTTTGAATGAAGTGACATATCCTCGCAATTTAATACACACAAAATCTACTGGTAGGATGTTGAAGTAAACATATCTGAAATGATGTGAATGAGTACAAAGGTGTACTGCCAGGCAATAGGACAAGAAGATGAGGTATTATTGATTTTTATTTTTTAAAGTTTTGCTTTGGTAAAACAAATAACTGTGAAGTATCTTTAGTTGGAGGACATGGTGTTGCGGATCCAGGAGTTGTAGTTGCAGACCTTGGCGTAGACTCCGGGTTTGTTCCTCTGGGCACAGCCATAACCCCAAGACACCACACCCTGCAGCTGACCATTGCACACCACAGGGCCACCAGAGTCTCCCTGATACGACACAGACAGAGAGGATAACATGTAAGCAGAGATGTTCTGAAGTTTGATTTGAAGACTTGAGAAGCAGTGGTGAAGGTTTTTGCTGGTACCTGGCAGGAGTCCTTGCCTCCCTCGAGGAATCCAGCACAGAACATGTTGGAGGTGATCTGTCCAGGGTAAGAGGACCTACAGCTGCTGTCGCTCAGGATGGGGGCATCAAGGCACCTCAGACGATCAGGGTAGTTGCCTATGAAAAGATAGTACATTACCTATTGTGCAACAGAACTATTTCTCAGATTGACTTGTAGTATTTTACTGACTTCCAGAGCCGCTCATGTTGCCCCATCCAGAGATGAGACAGCGGGTTCCAGAGCTGGCACAGCTGGAGGGCAGGGACACGGTGCGGACGTTGCTGTTCAGGGTGGCGGGGGTGCTCAGCTTGATCAGCATGATGTCATTGTCCAGGTTGCGGCTGCTGTAGTAGGGGTGACGGATGACCTTGGCAGAGTTGATGAACTGCTCTGTGCCCTCGTTGACGGCAATGTTGTGCTCACCAAGACGCACTTGGACGCGGCTGCAGAGATAGACATGAAGATTGCGTCTTAGAACTGTGACAATGCACATGGGTTAGAGAGAGTAAGAATCAGGGGAGCAGCAGATGAATGCAACAGAACATCACATTTCAATATCTGTACTTACGACTTGTAGCAGTGAGCAGCAGACACCACCCAGGTGCTGGAGATCAGAGAAGCTCCACAGAAGTGGTAGCCACTGTTCAGAGAGACCTGGTAGGGCACAGAGTTCTTTCTGCACTCATAGCCTCCTACAATCTTGTCATCCTCAATGGGAGCAGCATCTGGTATGAAGAGTTTAAAAGAATATAAACTTTGCAGGAAAGCAATATTCAGAGACATGTCAAAGTTAATGAGTTTCCACTCATACCCTTTGAATGTACAAAAAGACTTTTAAATTTCCCTCAAAGTAAATTCATACTCACATGCCACTGCGCAGAGGGCCAAAAGAATGAAAGCCTTCATGGTAGTACCTGTAGGAGTCTCTGTGTCGACTCAGCTGCCCTGAAGCCCCTTTTAAACCCACTGTGTCCCTCTGTTATCTGATCAGCCAAGGACATAAATTTCCATTTTCAGCCCTTTTTTCGCTCAGTTATGTGTGTAAAAACACATCTGGAGGACTCAGGCCAAGTTATTGATAATGCATCCTTTGGTCCCAGCAACACCTGAAACACGTGTGTTTGCATTAACCCTGAAATACAGGTTGGGCAAGGTATAAGCTAAGGTTAGGCCAAGGACACAAATTTCCATTTTCAACTATTTTTTTGCTCAGTTATGTTTGGGAAAGCACATTTGGAGGACCAAGGCCAATTTATTGATAATATGTCTTTTGGTCCCAGCAACACGTGTTTGCATTAACCCTGAAACACAGGTTCATTTGTTTCTGTAAAATTGTTAAAATGTACAAAAAATCAGGAACATTCTCCCCCATGGATGCATATATTATGTGATGTTTTAAAACATCTATCATTTTAAACTATGGTCAGTTATTGATAAAAAAAAAGTTTGTGACGTGAAACAACTGGAATTATTTTTTCATTTTTTATTGCTTTTCCCTCCAGCCAGTGTTAACCAGAGTTATCATTATGCTAAAAAAACACCTATGAATAAGCAAACACACTTAAAAATCTCTTGGTTCAGATGGAAATAACATTGTAGTTTGGATGAAATATGTTACATATATTGAGTAGTGTAATGTGGGACACTGACTCATGTGGGACACCCAAGCTTGAGTGCATTAATCCCTTTTTTTGACAACATGAAGAAACACGATAGGTGTTGAGTCCAAGAAGGGTTATCACGTTATTGAAATCACATGACCTTGCTGATGTGATGTCATAAATCATAGCAGGAGGATGACCAAACAGGAAGTACCCCCTGTGAAGTCCACTTCAAGGCCAGTGACATCCGGACAAAATCAATGTTAAGGATATAAATCTCTTAACAAATAAAAACAACAATACTAATTGTTTTCAAATGATCTCAGTGATGTATTTGTGTATTAAATGATGCAGTAATATTGTACTAATGTGTTGAGATTATTTTTTATTAAGAGCAATCTTTAGTCGTCCCACTTTAGGAAAGGTTGATTTTAAAGTAGGACAGCATGCTTTGACTAATGTGGGAGATTATATACTGTGTTATTTAATTGGGAAACTATGCATTTTGGAAATGTCCTGCAATTTTTTTTCACTTTTTAAGCTTGTGATGCAGCAACTGTTTCAAGTTATAGATTAGGATTCAAATCATTGTCATTATTTGCCACTAGGCTAGCTTACTGTTTAACTTACAATAAACTAGCTAAGTCAAATAACTAGAATTTAGTCACAATGATATCTAATATAACATGGCACATTTATCAATGTACCATATGAAAAAACTTCTACCCACGTGTTATGTATGAACTTTATTTCCAAATGTGCAATAGACAACGATTTTTACATCCTGTTGTTAAAATTGGATTTAGTCGGGGTGTTGGTGGCGCAGCGATTAGTGCGCGCACCCCATGTATGGAGGCTGTAGTCCTTCAGACGGGCGGCCCAGGTTCAAATCCGGCCCGTGGCTCCTTTCCCGCATGTCATTCCCAACTCTCTCTCTCCCTGATTTCCGACTCTATCACTGTACTACATCACCAATAAAGCAACACAAAGCCCAAAAATAATTATTTGAAAGAAAAAAATTATTGGATTTAGTCTTGTCCCTGCAAAATTAACCCTTGTGTTAATACATGATTGTTTAGACATGATGGTAGAATGTTTATTTTAATATCAGTATTAAAGGTTTGGATGGAAAGCTTCAGGCAGATTCTATATTGACCTTTACATTTTAGTGATGAAGATCTAGTTACAGAAGCTGATACGTCTCACTTTTAGCACATTCAATTGTAGCTGTGCATATGGTGCATGCAAATATAACATAGGCTATGCAGACTAAACACCTGACAACAGACCTTGTCTCTTTGTTAGATGATCGCATTAGAAGGTGAACCTAGCTCACCACATCCTTGCTCATGTTTATGCTTGGTCCCTGCATAACAATATGTTGAAACATGCTCTGTCCTCTTGAGTAACCTGCGTGAAAACACACCTGGAGAGCTTATTGATAACAAAATCTCAAGTCCCAGCTAAAGTCACTTACTCTAATTGTTACGACGCAGATGTATTTATGGATTTGCTTAAAGTGCTTGATTCTTAAAATAAATATTTAAATTCAGTCTAAATGTGAATCTACAACAACTTTATTTAATGCAGTTACTACAACATAATAATTTAATTCTACATTCATATTTAGCAAACCCAGGAGTTTTTAGTTGAAACAACATTTGGTCTCTAATATATCCTAAGGTTTCTTTGTAAAGCTTTTAAACAGTTGATGTTGTTCTGACATATAAACTGATTCTCAGTATAAAATAAAGTCTTTAAATACAATATTAAATATTATTGAATGTTGTTACCCTGCTAAACAGAAGCAAACAAGATGCACATATTGCTCAGGGGAAAATAAATCTAATCAATTTCTGATCCAACAGTATTTATTATCCATTAGACTGACATAAATATTTTTACATATTTCTGAAAGACTCACATGCCATCAAAACTGAAAATTATTTTGTTTCTGTTACCTCATAATAAATTGTTCTATACAGTACTCCCTTCATAAAAAGCAGGAAACCTGAGCTCTGCTGTCTTTTTATGTTTTCTGTTTTATTTGTGTTTTAAAAGAATACCTTTAAAGCTTTTGATAATAATGATGTATATTCTGATTTAAATGAAATAAATCACACACAACTAAAAACGAGCATTGACAGAGAGTGGTGTAAATCATTTATTCTCTTGAAACTGATGTCATTGTCAGAGATGACTTTGATCTTTATCACTCCAATAGACTGTCTTTAGTTGGAGGACATGGTGTTGCGGATCCAGGAGTTGTAGTTGCAGACCTTGGCGTAGACTCCGGGTTTGTTCCTCTGGGCACAGCCATAACCCCAAGACACCACACCCTGCAGCTGACCATTGCACACCACAGGGCCACCAGAGTCTCCCTGATACGACACAGACAGAGAGGATAACATGTAAGCAGAGATGTTCTGAAGTTTGATTTGAAGACTTGAGAAGCAGTGGTGAAGGTTTTTGCTGGTACCTGGCAGGAGTCCTTGCCTCCCTCGAGGAATCCAGCACAGAACATGTTGGAGGTGATCTGTCCAGGGTAAGAGGACCTACAGCTGCTGTCGCTCAGGATGGGGGCATCAAGGCACCTCAGACGATCAGGGTAGTTGCCTATGAAAAGATAGTACATTACCTATTGTGCAACAGAACTATTTCTCAGATTGACTTGTAGTATTTTACTGACTTCCAGAGCCGCTCATGTTGCCCCATCCAGAGATGAGACAGCGGGTTCCAGAGCTGGCACAGCTGGAGGGCAGGGACACGGTGCGGACGTTGCTGTTCAGGGTGGCGGGGGTGCTCAGCTTGATCAGCATGATGTCATTGTCCAGGTTGCGGCTGCTGTAGTAGGGGTGACGGATGACCTTGGCAGAGTTGATGAACTGCTCTGTGCCCTCGTTGACGGCAATGTTGTGCTCACCAAGACGCACTTGGACGCGGCTGCAGAGATAGACATGAAGATTGCGTCTTAGAACTGTGACAATGCACATGGGTTAGAGAGAGTAAGAATCAGGGGAGCAGCAGATGAATGCAACAGAACATCACATTTCAATATCTGTACTTACGACTTGTAGCAGTGAGCAGCAGACACCACCCAGGTGCTGGAGATCAGAGAAGCTCCACAGAAGTGGTAGCCACTGTTCAGAGAGACCTGGTAGGGCACAGAGTTCTTTCTGCACTCATAGCCTCCTACAATCTTGTCATCCTCAATGGGAGCAGCATCTGGTATGAAGAGTTTAAAAGAATATAAACTTTGCAGGAAAGCAATATTCAGAGACATGTCAAAGTTAATGAGTTTCCACTCATACCCTTTGAATGTACAAAAAGACTTTTAAATTTCCCTCAAAGTAAATTCATACTCACATGCCACTGCGCAGAGGGCCAAAAGAATGAAAGCCTTCATGGTAGTACCTGTAGGAGTCTCTGTGTCGACTCAGCTGCCCTGAAGCCCCTTTTAAACCCACTGTGTCCCTCTGTTATCTGATCAGCCAAGGACATAAATTTCCATTTTCAGCCCTTTTTTCGCTGAGTTATGTGTGTAAAAACACATCTGGAGGACTCAGGCCAAGTTATTGATAATGCATCCTTTGGTCCCAGCAACACCTGAAACACGTGTGTTTGCATTAACCCTGAAATACAGGTTGGGCAAGGTATAAGCTAAGGTTAGGCCAAGGACACAAATTTCCATTTTCAACTATTTTTTTGCTCAGTTATGTTTGGGAAAGCACATTTGGAGGACCAAGGCCAAGTTATTGATAATATGTCTTTTGGTCCCAGCAACACGTGTTTGCATTAACCCTGAAACACAGGTTCATTTGTTTCTGTAAAATTGTTAAAATGTACAAAAAATCAGGAACATTCTCCCCCATGGATGCATATATTATGTGATGTTTTAAAACATCTATCATTTTAAACTATGGTCAGTTATTGATAAAAAAAAAGTTTGTGACGTGAAACAACTGGAATTATTTTTTCATTTTTTATTGCTTTTCCCTCCAGCCAGTGTTAACCAGAGTTATCATTATGCTAAAAAAACACCTATGAATAAGCAAACACACTTAAAAATCTCTTGGTTCAGATGGAAATAACATTGTAGTTTGGATGAAATATGTTACATATATTGAGTAGTGTAATGTGGGACACTGACTCATGTGGGACACCCAAGCTTGAGTGCATTAATCCCTTTTTTTGACAACATGAAGAAACACGATAGGTGTTGAGTCCAAGAAGGGTTATCACGTTATTGAAATCACATGACCTTGCTGATGTGATGTCATAAATCATAGCAGGAGGATGACCAAACAGGAAGTACCCCCTGTGAAGTCCACTTCAAGGCCAGTGACATCCGGACAAAATCAATGTTAAGGATATAAATCTCTTAACAAATAAAAACAACAATACTAATTGTTTTCAAATGATCTCAGTGATGTATTTGTGTATTAAATGATGCAGTAATATTGTACTAATGTGTTGAGATTATTTTTTATTAAGAGCAATCTTTAGTCGTCCCACTTTAGGAAAGGTTGATTTTAAAGTAGGACAGCATGCTTTGACTAATGTGGGAGATTATATACTGTGTTATTTAATTGGGAAACTATGCATTTTGGAAATGTCCTGCAATTTTTTTTCACTTTTTAAGCTTGTGATGCAGCAACTGTTTCAAGTTATAGATTAGGATTCAAATCATTGTCATTATTTGCCACTAGGCTAGCTTACTGTTTAACTTACAATAAACTAGCTAAGTCAAATAACTAGAATTTAGTCACAATGATATCTAATATAACATGGCACATTTATCAATGTACCATATGAAAAAACTTCTACCCACGTGTTATGTATGAACTTTATTTCCAAATGTGCAATAGACAACGATTTTTACATCCTGTTGTTAAAATTGGATTTAGTCGGGGTGTTGGTGGCGCAGCGATTAGTGCGCGCACCCCATGTATGGAGGCTGTAGTCCTTCAGACGGGCGGCCCAGGTTCAAATCCGGCCCGTGGCTCCTTTCCCGCATGTCATTCCCAACTCTCTCTCTCCCTGATTTCCGACTCTATCCACTGTACTACATCACCAATAAAGCAACAAAAAGCCCAAAAATAATTATTTGAAAGAAAAAAATTATTGGATTTAGTCTTGTCCCTGCAAAATTAACCCTTGTGTTAATACATGATTGTTTAGACATGATGGTAGAATGTTTATTTTAATATCAGTATTAAAGGTTTGGATGGAAAGCTTCAGGCAGATTCTATATTGACCTTTACATTTTAGTGATGAAGATCTAGTTACAGAAGCTGATACGTCTCACTTTTAGCACATTCAATTGTAGCTGTGCATATGGTGCATGCAAATATAACATAGGCTATGCAGACTAAACACCTGACAACAGACCTTGTCTCTTTGTTAGATGATCGCATTAGAAGGTGAACCTAGCTCACCACATCCTTGCTCATGTTTATGCTTGGTCCCTGCATAACAATATGTTGAAACATGCTCTGTCCTCTTGAGTAACCTGCGTGAAAACACACCTGGAGAGCTTATTGATAACAAAATCTCAAGTCCCAGCTAAAGTCACTTACTCTAATTGTTACGACGCAGATGTATTTATGGATTTGCTTAAAGTGCTTGATTCTTAAAATAAATATTTAAATTCAGTCTAAATGTGAATCTACAACAACTTTATTTAATGCAGTTACTACAACATAATAATTTAATTCTACATTCATATTTAGCAAACCCAGGAGTTTTTAGTTGAAACTAAAAACTCTCTAATATATCCTAAGGTTTCTTTGTAAAGCTTTTAAACAGTTGATGTTGTTCTGACATATAAACTGATTCTCAATATAAAATAAAGTCTTTAAATACAATATTAAATATTATTGAATGTTGTTACCCTGCTAAACAGAAGCAAACAAGATGCACATATTGCTCAGGGGAAAAAAAATCTAATCAATTTCTGATCCAACAGTATTTATTATCCATTAGACTGACATAAATATTTTTACATATTTCTGAAAGACTCACATGCCATCAAAACTGAAAATTATTTTGTTTCTGTTACCTCATAATAAATTGTTCTATACAGTACTCCCTTCATAAAAAGCAGGAAACCTGAGCTCTGCTGTCTTTTTATGTTTTCTGTTTTATTTGTGTTTTAAAAGAATACCTTTAAAGCTTTTGATAATAATGATGTATATTCTGATTTAAATGAAATAAATCACACACAACTAAAAACGAGCATTGACAGAGAGTGGTGTAAATCATTTATTCTCTGAAACTGATGTCATTGTCAGAGATGACTTTGATCTTTGTAGCAGTGAGCAGCAGACACCACCCAGGTGCTGGAGATCAGAGAAGCTCCACAGAAGTGGTAGCCACTGTTCAGAGAGACCTGGTAGGGCACAGAGTTCTTTCTGCACTCATAGCCTCCTACAATCTTGTCATCCTCAATGGGAGCAGCATCTGGTATGAAGAGTTTAAAAGAATATAAACTTTGCAGGAAAGCAATATTCAGAGACATGTCAAAGTTAATGAGTTTCCACTCATACCCTTTGAATGTACAAAAAGACTTTCCCTCAAAGTACTCATACTCACATGCGGAGTTGGAGGACATGGTGTTGTGGATCCAGGAGTTGTAGTTGCAGACCTTGGCGTAGACTCCGGGCTTGTTCCTCTGGGCGCAGCCATAACCCCAAGACACCACACCCTGAAGCTGACCATTGCACACCACAGGGCCACCAGAGTCTCCCTGATATGACACAGACAGAGAATGTCAACAGTATGATGTCTACACATGATCAAGAGCGTGATAGTATGACCTCCTCATTCAGGAGGTTTCTCACTCATCAAATGACTGACTAGTTAACTCTGTTGATACTCTGTTGATTGTCAACTACAGATTATTCAATTCAATTCAATTCAATTCAAAAAACTTTATTTGTCCCCGGGGGGCAATTCAAAGGCACACAGAGCAGTAAATTAACAACAGTGCAAGTAAACGAAACATTTTAACCTAAATATAAAGTGTCAATTTAAATACAACTTAAAGCTTAAACTTAACTTAACAATACAAAATATAAAAGAGTAGATATAAGTGGACAGTGACTAACAGATGTAACCAGGTTAGATTAGATTAATTGACTATCAATAGATTAAGTACTAATTTGTAGTTGACTATCTGTTGATTGTCAACATATATATGACTATCAACAGTCTGGCATTTGTTAACCTGTGACTATCCAATTAAAGTGAAAACAGGCTATAATTGATTTAAATTGCAATGTATTCCATCTCTCCTACCTATAACACTGCTCTATAAAGAAATACATTTTATATAACATAAACCTGTTTGTACGTCCTTATATTTTAAAACATCTGTGTAATTTCACATCACTTATGTTCTCTCGTCTCCACAAACGTTGATTGCTCCTGAACACACCTCCTTTAATGACGTCAAAAGTACGCGACTGACCTCGGTTTGTGTCGGCTGCCGAGCTTAACAGCTGCTGCAATTGTGTTTTGGTTTTGTTTTGCCTATCATGTGCACTTATCATGAGGTAAGACACACAACAGCGTCAGCCTTGTCGTCGATTCTGCTCAGTCGTCGCTGGCTGTCCAGGCTGCTTCTGCACCTGAATACAGTGCTAGCCTGTTAGCTCACAGCTAGCTCCATTGCAGGATCAGCACCTAATGTATGCGAAATGCGCAACCATTGCGGATGTGGTGCAGACAAAATTGCGCATCAATGCGACAGAATACAGAAGTCAACATAACTAAAGAAAACAGAGAAAGCTTTCTGAAAATGAAGAGTTTTAAGCAGTGTTATGTTTTGTTATTGTATTTCAGCTCTGGGTGCGATCCTCTGCCTGGATGAAGCATCTCACAGTATGACAGCTTGTGTGTGTGTTTATCTCTGAGCTACAGTCTGCAGTGTTGTTTCATGTGTTTTATATATCAGCTGAGCATACATGTGAAGGATGTCGAGATTGAAGGGACTGCTACGATAGGAGTTCAGTCTCTCTTATTTCTAATCATACAATAAGATTGTATCCCTCACTCAAACACAGTTATATGTTGATTTATTTAAAAAAAAAAGGAGTGTTGTTATTCTAAATAAGAATTCTTCAACTCTATATTTCCTATAGTATCAACCAATGCTATGTGTGGTTGCTCTCCCCAAAGCTGGTTTCTGATTATTTGATGCAACATTTGGAAGTTGAAATGTATTTAGTTGGAGGTTTAGTTTCACCTTGAACTTGTGTTAATGGGGCAGCGGCCGCCAGTATCAGAATTGGCCCGCCAGTCAGTTCTGCTGTGAATCAGGTGTGACCCATGACTGAGTACTACGAGGAAGGGGGGCTGCTGTACGAGCAATCACCTCCCATGCACATCAAGGTGGAGTCTCCAGAGGGACCCTTTGGAGGGGGAGCCTCAGAAAACGGCTTCCCCAGGGAGGATGAGGACTCGGAGGGCAGCTGTGACCAAAATAGTGGATTACCTGGTGGGCTTCCCTTCAATGTGGTAGTGGTGCATCCGAACATTATGGCACCTGGCATGTCCTCAGACGACCTCTTGTCAATCGAACAAAGTAAGCCTGAATGTTTAATTTCCACATAGTGTGTGCCTGCTTAAAGGAACAGTGAATAAAACAGATTCAGGTGTATGTGTAAATGAAACTATTGCTTTAATCAGCAGTTGTTATACAGTAATATATATATTTTTAGTCTGATCTTCATGTATCATGTCTTGTTATAAGTAGTCATGGTTCAGTATGTTTTCACTTGGCAGAGTGTAAACATGTCAGGCTTTGTCATGGTACATTTCTCCTCCTCACACAACTTGATATCTTTCCTTTCTCTAATGGGCTGTCTTCTTAACTTTCCACTGCAGACAGAGCTATGTCCGCTGCATTGGCTGCTGGTGGTGCAGGAAAAAGAAAGAGTCGTTTCAGTGGAGCAGAGCTGGAGGTGTTGGTGTCAGAAGTCACTCGGTGTGAAGGAGAGCTCTTTGGTCCCGCAGGAAGGCTTAGGCGACGAGAGAGAGAGCGCATCTGGGCAGGAATCCTAGAGAGAGTCAACGCTGTTTCGAGAGTACCGCGTACCCTTCGAGAGGTAAAGAAGCGCTGGGACGACTTGAAGAGACGCAATGGAGGCAGACTAGCAGATGCTCGCCACCGCAGCTGTTATCTGCCATCCAGCAGAGGGGCCTCGATGCTTGGCCGTCCCTCCCAGACAAGCCCCAGGCTTCAACATGCCAGGCAAAAACAAAGCACCAGACCAAAGCCCAGTTTTCCATGCTTCCCTGACTCAGATACAGGTAAAATAAATGAAACAGTTGTCAGTTCTGAATGCGCAGCTGCGAGTCCTAAAACAATTTACAGGCGTTACTAATATTTACTTACAATTATTTTTTGCAGTTGTAGGAATGGAAGGATCAGAAAGAGATGGTTTGGAGAAAGATGAGGACAATCCTGAGCACGACAGAGACATGGGAGAACCTGAGTGTGAACCAGGCGAGAACAGCATGGAGGACAAATTGGGATTAGGACTGGGTTTGGGCATAGGACCACCACCTTCTTCAGAACGATGGCTTCCTCCTTCCCCCCTTTACAGTGCTCCTTTCTTAAACGGCAGCCCCCAACCCAGCAGTCCTCAGCCATCGCTTGGAGCACATCAGGGTCCTCTGGAAGCCCCTCCACGCAGCTCCTGGCTGGAAGACGAGCTACGAGGGTTAGGAGAAGCAGCCATTCAACTGGGAAATCGGGTAGAAAAGAGTTTGCAGGAGTTTGGGGAAGGTTTCAGACAGGACATGCAGACACTTGTTGCTTCTCAAGAGACATTAGCAGTCAGTCTACAACAAAACAATGTCCTGTTGCAAAGGCTGCTGGGAGTGCTTGAAGCCCAGCAACAACCACAACCACAGCCGCATCGTGTACAACAAGCACACCAAACACAAACATCTCAACAGCACTTACAACCTCAGCCAGCTCAGCAGCTGCAACACATCGAACCACAACAGCAACAACAACAGCAGTTTGAAACACCACTGCAAACAGAAATTAAAACAAATCATCAACAGCAGCCTGTGGTCACCCAGCTTTCAAATAATCAGTCAGCGGTGGCATCGTTGCCTTCACCATTGTCCCCTGACTTACATGGCACTGTTCCCCCTGATCCACCCACAGACACAAATGGGACTGTGACGAGGCCAAGGCGAGGGAAAGCTGTTGATCACAGGCGCAGGAGACGACGCTAAAGTAGAAGTACATACGCGGACATCATGCATATTCAGTGTCTACAAATGTGACAAGAAATTGTGATTTTTTTTTTTCTTTTGGAAGAATTTTTATGAAGAATAAACGGACTTATTTTGAGTGTTACGTAACACTCCAAATCAGTAATTCATATTGCACTTACATATGTATTCAGAAAGTACTGAAGTAGATAAGCAGATTAAACAAATTACATAATAGGGTGGCCTTAACATATGCTTGGTTCTTAAGTATATACATATATGTATATAATGCGCTAACACTTTCTGAAACAAGTTGCTCATGATGCACTCATGAGATTTTTTGGCCCAGATAACACCAAACTGTAGGTGCTGATGTTTGATGGTGTCACTGCATGTCACTGTAAAAGCCTAGCAGCTGAGCAGCAAAGATCATGATGCTCTCTCTAGTTCAGTACTCAATTCAGTCTCTGTCTCAATTCTTCTGACCCACTGACTACATTGTCGTAAAGTACCTGTAATCTGCAGTTGTTACCCCATATTGTAGTTCTACAGCTAATGTAATTACCTGCTACTGTATGCTTGTGCTTTTTTACTGAGCCCCTCAAGGCTCAGATAAAAAAAAGAAGAAGAATAAAAAGCAATTTGCAAATCTGTTCGCACCGTTTACAAATCTGTGCACACAGATTTTGCGTCAATGGGAATGGATTTTGGAGTTTTTTCAGGGCTGTCAAACAATTCAATTTTTTATTGCAGTTAATCGCTTAATTATAATAGTTAATCCCAATTAATCACATTTTTAATCGCATGTTAGAAGTTCCATCATATCACATTTAAAAGTATAAATTGTAAGGCTTTTGCTTTGAATGTTTGTACTGTCTTGAGCTGAGAGTACTTTACTGTTTGAATTCAACCTTGCTTTTATTTTGAAATAAATGAAGGACCTTCTGGTCGATTGAAGGTTATGACATTAACTTAACCACAGACAGAAACTCGTTTGGGATCAAAAACTAAATCAAACAGCTAAAAGGGAGACACTGTGGAGGCTTATCCACATTTCGCATAAAGGGACAAAATAGCACGCAATTAATTGCGATTAAAAAAACAAAATGATGCATTAATTTCAGACCTTAGTTAATCACGACTAACTAGTTAATCTCTCCAGCCCTAGTTTTTTTTTTACATTTGTATTTCTTGCCTGAGCCTTGCGGGATTCTTTTTTTTTTTTTAA